CCTGGCAAGTCCAAGGTCCCAAGTTTGATCCCTGGTATTGCAAAAAAAGAAAAAATAATAATAAATTTCTTTATTAGTTGTTTTGAGTCTATTTTTTCATTTTATGTATTTGGTATAGGGAACACTATGCAGCCTTGACTTGTAGTGATCCTCTCGTTTTCAGCCTCTTGAGCGCTGGGAGTACAGGCATGCACCACCACGCCTGGACTCAGCGTGCCCCAGGGAGCACGGATCGAACCCTGGTCCCTGTGCTTGCTAAAGCAGGTACTTAGTCCACTGAGCTATCTTACCAGTCCTTGTTTTGAGTCTCTTACTGTGCTCGTTTGTAAGTTAAACTTTATCGCGTGCATGTGTAGATAGGAAAAATCACAGTAATGTAGGGCTTGGTATATTTCATGGCCCAGGCTTCACTGGGGGCCTTGGAATAGATGCCCAATACTGTACCCCGAGATAGACCACAGCTTACAGGAGACACTGAGAGCCAGGAATGGTATCACACACCTAGAATCCCAGAACACCTGGAGGCTGAGGTAGGAAGATGGCAAGGTTAAGTCAGCCTGGGAAATGCAGCAACTTAGTGACGCTGTCTCAGAATCTAAAGAAAAATAACAAGCACTGGAGATGTAGCCCAGTATGAAGGCCTGGGTTCAATCCACAGTACTGCAGGAAAGAAAGCAAAAAGGAAAAAGAGAGAGAGAGAGAGAGAGAGAGAGAGAGAGAGAGAGAGAGAGAGAGAGAGGTCTGAAGCCATAGCCATGCCCCGGGCACACAGAACACTCTTGCCTCACAAGTACTAAAGCAGGATGCAGGATGCAGATGCCCCTTGCTCGGGCCATCACAAGACCAGGTTCCTGTTAAGGAAGGAGTTATTTCATGTAGTGTGATGACCTTGATCAGTCCTGTGTTCTGTGACGTCAGTGTGCTTATCTGTAAATCCGAAGCCTCTTGGGGTCATGCCACTCACTGCCTTCGGCAGTCCTGGTCCAAGTGGAAAGGTCTTCCTAGAGCCAGGTCCTGTACATTTTTGAAAGAGGGCATTCCCATAAAGCCGTCTTGATTTTCTTCTCGGTCAGGCAGGGGTTTCTGGGGCTTTGGGGAACCGAAAGTACAGAATTCAAGTGTGACACCCTTCTGACTCACTAGCAAGAGGACAGGCTGTGTTGTCCCTGTGGAGCGAGCATGTGCTTCCCACCTGCTGTATCCAAAGGACCTCAGCCGCTGTGTACCGCAGTAGCTCTGTCCGCAGCATTTCAAAGCAAATTTCATTTGTCTCTTTCCTCTCAAGGAAAAAACCAAGCGGGCCGCATGAAAGAAATGGATGTGCAGAGTCCCTCCTGGGGCAGTGTACCGTCCCAGTGCCCTGCTCCGTGGACTGCTTGCCTCCTGGGCATGCAATTCCAGGGTGGAACCACTTTGCCTGGGCTTTGGAAGCATTGTTCTGTCAGGTTTTATCGGTGCTGTTGAGAAGGTCAGTGACATTTTTATTCCAGATTTTGAACATGGCCTGTTTGTTCCGCTCTGAAAGCTTTTCAAGTCTGTCTCAGCGTTCTCAAATGCTCCGTGGTACCCATTCATGCTACTTACATTTTTGTTCTGCACATCTGGGGCTTACCTTGCACAAGAAAATGTTTTCCAGTTTGGGGAAATGTTCCTTATAATAAATATCAGTGTTTCCTATTTTCTTTTTTTTGGCAAGAAGAGTTGGCTGTTGGACTTCTGAGACTGAGCCTCTGTTTTCTTGTTCCTTTGTGGGCTTTTTCCTACTACTTTCTACTTCTGTCTGTTTTGTGCTTTCTTAGTGATTTCCTCAATTTTTTTTCTAGAAATTTCTTTTCAGGAGGGTTTTTCTGTTCCTAGACGCTCAAATATTTCATGCATAGAGTTCCCTCTTAGTGTTCTGTTCCTTCATGACTTCCACTACAAATATTCCCTATTCTGGTTATTGGGAAGCTGTGCCTTGTTCTCATTCTGGGATTTCTAGGATCGGTCTTTTTCCCTGCATGTCTTTCTGTGGGGACCTGGCCAGCAGTAAATGATTAATTAAAACTAAATGGTAAACTTCAGGACGAAGGCAGGTAGGCTCTATGAGGAGTGAAACGTTAAACTATAGGGCAAAAGCACACAAATAATTAAACTGGGCAAAAAAAGCCCTGTGGCACAGACAGGAGTGAATGAGGCCGTGTGAGAATCAGACAGTTAAGCAAGAAGTTTAGAGGCCGGCGAGATAGCTCAGCAGACTAAAGTGCCTGCTTAGGCAAGTTTAGGCAAGCACAGGGACCAGAGTTCAATCCCCGACACCACATGCCTCACCAGCTCTGCCCCCAGGGCGGGCTGAGCTGGCCACAGAATCCAGGCGTAATGGTGCCAGCCTATAATCCCAGCGCAGGGGAGGCTGGAAGCAGGAGGATCACCATGAGTCTGAGCTGCATAGTGAGACCCTGTAACAACCAAATAGGTAAAACAAAAACCAAGAAGTTTAGATTAATGAGGCATGTTGTGTCTGGCCCTTGTCCTTCCCTTCCCTAAGAAAAACTGCCTGGCTTTGAGACAGCTCTGTGCCCAAGCTGCTCTTCTGCTGTTTTCTTTACTCTGATATTCTAAGTAAAAGCCAGTGAGTTCTCAGCGTCGACCCGTTTGTCTTCTCTCAGAGGCTCTCCAGTGGCTGGGCCTCAGCTGCGACACAGCCCCTCTGAGCCTCTCGGTACTGAACTATATCCCACCACCCCGAGGTGCTCACTATGCATCTCTCTTTCTTTCATGTCATTCCAGTTGTTATTCCAACAATCAGAATTTTCTCCAAATTTAGTCCTATTCAAGAGGAAGACCAAGGACCAGTAGGAAGCCCCGTGCATGCCTGGGACTGTGCGGGGGACTGGCTGCAACACGGATGCCTCCCTGGGCAGCCTACGAAAGCCGCTGTCCATTGATGTCTGGGGCAAGATTCCTTTTGAGCAAAGAAAATTCTTGTAGCGTGGAGGGGCTAAGCCGAGCAGGGTTCCTGCACCCAGCAGAGCCCCCTCCGTCAGACCTCACCCTTCGTTTCCAGCACCGCGTTCTCCTCCTTGGGGTCTGCAGCACTTCGTGGCGCACTTTCCTGTGGACTTAGCCTCCGTTCTCCCCCGCGTGAGGTGGCAGAAGAGGCCCAGGGTCCCCCCGCCGACTTCGGTCCTGTTCCCTGCTCTGCATCTTCCTGCCCACTGCCTTCCCCACCCAGGGCTGCCTGCTTCTAAGTCTTTCTGGCTTCTGTCTTGCAAAGCGGCCGGTGTCCTCTGGTCTCCTCCTCTGCAGGTGATTGGTGTCAGCTTTGCTGATCTTGCTCTCTTTTGTCTCCTTGCTCCCTTCTAATAATTTTTTTTTTTTTTTTTTTAGCAATTCTATTCTACATCCTTTTTAGTTTAGGGTTCCTTTTATCATAATCCCTCTGATGAAAAAGGACATTAGACAACTGAAGGATATAGGTTCCATCCCACTTTAATAGCAATATTTTCATCACTGGTAGATACATAGATACACACAAATATCTACATAGTAAATATATGCAAGAGCTATGGAAGTGACCCAGCCTGGCTAAGGGGCAGGGCCATCCCAGGCCTTTTCTCTGCTGTGCTGCACAGACGGGCTCTCAGCCAGTCCCAGCCAACTAGGCTCTTCCATGTATAGACCCGTGTGTTTCGGGACCAGGTCTAGCTTGAGATGGGCCACTCGGCCTGATGTTCTGTGATTCTTTACTCCCGCCACAGGGCCTGCTTCTGCCAAGCCAGATTTGATCTCAAAACTGGAGCGGAGAACTTCACCCAAGATCAAGGATCCAAATGGGTTGAAGTGGGGGAATGAGCATCCACCAGGTGAGTCTGAACCCATTGAGTTCTGAAGGGCATGTGGTCGGCCCGTGCAGCTACAGCAAGTCACAGGACACCGAGGCAGCCTCACGTACCCAGGACCAGTTGCATACCAGGCCCTGCACTGGGGTAGACAAAGATGAGTGAAAAATGAGCCCTGCCAACCAAGTGTGGAATCATCTGGGAAACTGGAATAGTGCAGAAACAATGAGACCCTTCAGGGAGTAGAGGTGCTCAAGGCGGCTGTGGCGGAGCGGCAGGAGGAGGAGGAGGAGGAGGAGGAGTGGCGGGGCAGGGCACTGGATGCCGGGAGTGGGCACAGCCCGTGTACTCCTTGTCCTGGGCGTGTGGGCAGCCCCTCGTGTCTGCAGTGTCTGTTTCCACGTCCCAGCCCACAGCTGCCCGGCTGGTTGGCTACACCAAGGGACACCGGGGCCCCTCCCTGCCTTCCAAGGCACATTAGAAGTTCAGTCTCATTTTTGTGGACTCTCACAAGAGGATTAAAGCCACCTGTTTACTAATACCTCTGCTTACGTGTGGTTAATTAAGCTTATTAGCATGTGGTGTCACATGTTCCCAGAGTATCCGGGGAGAGCTGGGAGGCCACCAGGAACCCCACAAGGACCAACCACCGCTCTTGGGGAGCCAGGTTGGCTTTCACAGACAGTGATGGGGAAGGGCTTATAGCGGAGCTGTGAGAGAAGCCTAAAGCAGCAGCATGCTCAGCTTCTGTGCTTTCACAGGGCCCTGATTACTTGGGGGCATTTTCACTGGTGGAAAATGCTGAGCAAAACTAGCCATGATTAAATTTTCTCCAAAGGGAAAAAGAGGATGGCAGTGTTGAGAGAGGCAGATGCTCGGGCCCCCGCTACAGAATCTGTGTCGCTCCCAGCTCCTCCTGTGGAGATGCGTGCCTGTTCCTGCCCTTCCAGCATGCACGCAGGAGAAGTTGTGAGGCCCAGGAGAAGCCAGCAGACTTACAGACCTGGCTACATTCAGAGGTTGTGGTTTGCGCAGTTACCGTGGTTAGTAGTCGACCCTGCTGAGAGCAGGCTCTTCTGCTCAGCCTGCAAAGCGAGACCCACGCTCCATCACTGGCCTCTCGTTTAGTCCAGGGTTACACTGGGCCCTTTAAGGTGGGGACTTTAAAGTACCACGAAGTCAGCAAGACACACAAGCTCTGTGTCAACGCCGTAGAGGTCAACAACAGCAGCCCTTAGGCTGCCCTGATCCCAGAGATCTCCAGCGACCTCATGGCTAACATGGAACCCCTCTTCAGTGCAGCCTACTCCATCGTGTATGACTCCCGGCCGCTGAACGACTTTGAGAAAATGCTGCAGCTCCTCCAAAGCACTGGGACCATGATTTTAGGCAAGTACCAAAACCGTACCGCATGCACACGGTTCACCAGATACATCTCGGAGACCCTGAAGAAGGAGATCCTCAGGGACATCCGCGGTTCCCCATGTGTGAGCCTGCTGCTGGACAGCTGCCAGGACAATTCCAACCAGGACTGTGTGGGGATTTACATCAGCTACCTTAAGCAGCTGGAGTTGAAAGAGCCATATATCATCCTGGGCCCACTCTACAGCGAGACGGTGGATGGGTACTTCGAGACCATTGTCGCAGCCCTGGATGAGCTGGACATCCCCTTCCGGAAGCCTGGCTGGGTGGTGGGCCTGGGCACAAACGGGTACACCATGCTGAGCTGCAAGGGAGGCCTCATGGAGAAGTTCCGGGAGACCATCCCACAGCTGCTGCCTGTCTGCTGCGTGGCCCACCAGCTACACATGGCCATGGTGGAAGCATGCGGGAGAATTGATCTGGTGAAGAAGTGTGACCGGCACATCCAGACCATCTTCAGGTTTTACCAAACCTCCAACAAGAGGCTGAGCGAGCTGCAGGAAAGTGCGGTGCCCCTGGAGCAGGAAATCGGCTGGCTGAAAGACCTGAATGCTGTCCACTGGGTGGCCAGCAAGAGGCGCATGCTGAACACGCTCCTCGTGTGCTGGCCAGTACCGGTGTGGCACCTCCAAATGGTGGCAGAAGCAGGGGGCCAGGTCGGGCTCAGGGCCCAGGGCCTGCTGAAACTGACGAAGGGCTTCCACTTGGTCAAGCTCTGCCACTTCCTCCTGGACTTCCTGAGCATCTACAGGCCCCTGGCTGAGGTGTGCCAAAAGGAGATGGTGCTGATCAGAGAGGTGAACGCCGAGCTGGCGCGCGCCTATGTGGGACTGGAGACCCTCCGCCACTAGGCGGGACCCAAAGAGCAAGAGTTCAGTGCCAGCTTCTGGGATAGGCAGCTCCACGGCATCTTCCTGCACAGTGTGGAGATGGCAGAGCAGCAGCAGTTCCGGGTGTCCAGGGAGAGGGTGATGCTGACGGGAGTCGAGTACCTCCAGCAGAGTTTTGACACAGACCGCCTGAGCAGCTCAAGAACATGGAGGTGTTTGACACCACGGCATGGCCGAATGGGGTGGAGCTAGCCCGCTTTGGGAATGATGGCGTCCTCAGCCTGGCCAGGTTAAGCTTGCCCTGCCGGCTGGGTACAGTGAGGAGGCCCTGTTGGGGGAGTGGCTGGGCCTGAAGGTGGCTGCCCAGAACCTCTCGTTCTCCATGCTGTGTAAAAGTGCCCTGCCCAGCCCCGCTGCTGCCCCGTGCTGAGCAAGCTCATGGCCGTGGTAGTCTGTGTGCCCATCTCCGCCTCCTGCTGTGAGCGTGGGTTCAAAGCCATGAACCAGATCAGGACCAATGAGAGGACCAAGCTCTCCAATGAGATGCTCAACTTGCTCATGATGACAGCAGTGAACGCAGTGGCAGTCACAGAGTACAACCCGCAGCCCGCCATCCAGCACTGGTACCTGTCGTCCTCGGGCCGGCGCTTCAGCGACGTCTACGCCTGCGCCCAGATGCCCGTCCACTCTCGCACAGGTAGGTGTGCGGCCAGTCCCAACCCAGGTGTGGAGGCAGGGCGAGAGCTGCTCTGCCCTGGCCTGAGCCGGAGGCCAGGTACCAGGGTCTCAGCGCTTCTGCTGCATGCCCAGCCACTGTACCATAGGCGGCCTGGCGGGAGACCAGGTGCGCAGCCCTGGGTGGCGGGCGTAGTGCAAAGGGCACCCTGCTCTGCAGTGACTTCAGGTCTTAGTATGCCACCCACTGGCCACGTGCCTGAGTCTCCACATTGACGCAAGCTTCCCCGGAAGCCAGGTGGCTACTGCCAGAGCAGGGGTACCTCTTCCCCGTGGGATGGGGGGAGCCAGGAGGCACTTGGGTAAGTTCACCCCCATATGTGGTTAAAGGAGCTACTCCAGTATCCAGCCCTGTGGGGCAGAGGAGACAGAGGTGCCAAGTGTTCCCTTGGACACGCTGTCCTTTTTGAGGGACAACAGGAGGAAGGCAGCTGAGACACTGGCGAACAGCGTACACGACGGCCTCCTCCTGGGCCCCGGGCACTGCGGGAGCCATAGCCGATTTCCCCACTGGAAAGCCGCACTTCTTGGGGGTGACATCCTCTCCAGACGCTAAGTATGTGGCCTTTCTAGGGAAGCAGACTGAGCACAGCCGGGACCGGTGAGGGCTGCAGATGCAGACAGAGCTGGCCCCGTCCCGTGGTCCTGCCCGGTTGTCTTCACGTAGTCCTGGGGAGCGGCTGGATGCCTCAAGGTGCTGTCATTTGCTCAGTGTAACCGGCGTGGTCTTGCCCCACACAGGTGCAGGGCTCAGGAAGAAGGGGCTGGAAGCCCAGAAGTGGCCCACCATGCCCTCTGGGGAACCCTGGAGATTCTGAAGAACCCTCATGGAGCTCCTGTGACTCCTCTACCAGCCCGGGGGCCCTCAAGCCATCCTGAGGGAGAGGGCATCTGGAAAAAGTCTAGGGGACCCCACATGGCCTTGCCCCCTCACCCGCTCGTGCAGACAGGCTTTCTGAAGGTTCTGGGCTATCCTGGTAACGAGGGCTGAAGCTGCCTCTGAGGGACACAGCATGTCCAGAGGGTCTCATGTCTACCTTTAAGGTCCACCCAGAAGAGTCTTGGCTCACTGTTTGCTGAAGTGGGACAGACTGCTGGGGTTGGGTGCCAAAAGCACTCCAACCCTCTGCGTCCCTGTGTCACTTTGTAAGGGTAGCTAGCAGCTTGGTGGCAAGAGTCCCCAGGAATTGCCCTTCGGGATGACTGGCCTGGGCTCCTGTGGCAGAAGTAGGAAACCCCAGATCAGGTGGGAAACTCATCAGAGCATTCTGCTCCTCTGCTGGGCCTGCCCTGGGCCAGACCAGAAGGGAGCCCTCCCCCAAGCACCAGAGACAGGTGGTCTTGCCTGGCGCTCTCTCTGCAAGGGAGTCCTGGGGTGTGTTTTCCTGAGGAATGTGTGGGTCAAATTCAGAGTTGGGGGCCTAGGATCCGTCCAGGCTCTGCTATGGGCAGTGGTTGGCCTGTAACTCAGCCTTTGTACTTACCTGTGCCTCAGTTTCCCTTTCAGTGCCATGGCAGCTGAAAATCTAAGTGCCTCACCCCCCACTCCCATGTGCCCCAGCATAGGAGTGAGAACTTCGCACCCCTTGTGCGAGGCATCTCCACCCTCTGCTCTCTGCCCCATCCCTGTCCCCAGTGTGCAGCTCACCATGGAGTCCTCTTGGGGGCAGAGGCACTGTTCACACAGGCCTTCAGCAGGACAGGCCTGTCCCTTCCTCTGCGAGCTGCCCTGGGGACTCTGCTTGGAATGCCATTGCTGCTTGGTGACTGTGTGGTCCCATTCTCAGACCACACTCAGTGATACCTCTGTCACTCTCAGGTCCCAGGTACCCTCCTCTCACCTGGACTTTCTCCTCCCAGTGCAACGTGGTCTGGGCCAGCTACAGGTTGCTGAGCTGGATGGGAACCTAGTGTCCCAGTTCGTCCTTAGTTGGTTGGGAAGTTAGGGACATCTGTGCAAAAAGCTTCATGCTCTGCCTCAGGTTCACTTAGACAGGCGGGGACACTGCGTGCTGCCCTCCGCATGGGTTCCCTATGCTGTGCTGCCGGTGCCCAGGCTCCTCCCCATCCCACAGCTGGCACCCTGGTTCCCGACCTCCGCATTCAGCCTTAGCACTTCATGTTGCCGCCTTTCTCCTCTGTGCCCTACACCATGCAGGTGTGTCCCCTCCAGCTCTGGAGGTGGCCCTCGGTCTCCCAGGAGAGAGGAAGCACTTGCTCTCTGGTCCGAGTCCAGGCCATCATCCTCACCCAGGTTCTCCTTGGCACCTGTTCCTCCCGTTACCTCATGACTGATGCCCACTGGGACAGGTGTTCCATGTAACCAGCATCGTACCAGATACTTGATTTCAGTAGCGAGAGATGGGGTGAGGGAGCCTTGCCTTGCCTTGCCCAGGCCAGACCCTGGTGAGGTGACTGAGTCCGGACCTTCGCTCTCTGTCCTTCAAAGGGGAGTCCCTGGGGTGCTACGTACTGAGCAGGATGGGGCAGAGGTCACTGGTTCCCTCACACAGATGTCTCCGTGGCCAAGATCACCACGGGTGACTAGACAGGGATGTCTTTATTTGCCCTGGTTTCAATGACGTGCACATGTTTAGAATAACCATGTTCGATTCTAAATATTTTGCAATCTGAATAAAGCAGTTTATTTCCACACGTGGCTCTGTCCTGTAAATCCCTAAGTGAGAGCTAAAGCTGCTGCCGCTGGCTGCGTTGCCACTCTCTGAAAAGAGATTTGGTTTTTTTTTTTTTTTTTGAGCTTCAGAACGTGGACTGTGCCCCTTTCCCAGGTATGTGTGACAGCCAGTGTGCAGCTATCAGGGACTTTCTGGTCCCTGGTACCCAGGACACTGAACCTTCTGTCACAGTCAGGCAAGGTGCTAGGAACCCTGCTGGGGATGTTCCTGCCATTGCTACAGCCGAAGGGCTCTTCGGGGGTTGCAAGATCTGCAGGGGACATGCACAGACCATGTGACATTGATGGTCCTGGGAGGGCAGAGCTGGCAGGGTTTCTCGTGGTCCATGTGGCACTGGGAGAAACTATGCTGTTGGTCCTGACTCATCTCACATTCCATGCCCTTGCCATTGGTGGTCCCCTTAGGCAGAAGGCCTTTGGGGTCCCCTTTGGCACCCTGGTTCCCGACCTCTGCACTCAGCCTTAGCACTTCATGTTGCCGCCTTTCTCCTCTGTGCCCCACACCATGCAGATGTGTCCCCTCCAGCTCTGGAGGTGGCCCTTGGTCCCCCAGGAGGGAGGAAGCACTTGCTCTCTGGTCCCAGTCTGGGCCATCATCCTCACCCAGATTCTCCTTGGCACCTGTTCCTCCCATTACCTCATGACTTACACTCACTGGGACACTCCAAGGGCCACTCCCCACGTGGCCATGCCCATCGAAAGTTCTGGTCACACTCAGCACAGGCTGGGGGACTTCAGCTCACAGAAGCCTAAGGATCCATTTGGGTGGGGTTCCCAGCTGTCCCCTTGGTCACCTTCAGCCTCCTGAAGGGAGTTCAGGTGTCAGTCAAGTGACAGGAACATACTGTTTTCATTTAGTGTCACTTTCATCCCACGGTCCCAGCAAGATCACCTGAATGAGGGCAGCCTTCTGTGGATGGCACAGTTGGCCCCAGGGGTGGCTCAGATCCCAACTTGGACAAGTGACCAGGTGGCCACTTTGAGGACATCGTCATCCTGGGTCCTTGGCCAGGGGCCTGGGCTAGTACTGCCATGCTAGTGACTCCCTGCTGTGGCCACTTTCAGACAGCAAGTGTAGGGAGCTTTCCCTGGAAGGCGGGAAGTCACAGAGACCCGCGTGAGGTTCGATGGGCAGCAGGACCTGACCCTTTGCTCCTGACCCAGGTTTGCCGAGACAGGCAATCAGGCCAACCTGTCATGAGATTCCATGAGGGCCCTTCTGCTTCATCTCTCCATGCTGATTCACCATAAAATCTATCCTTTAGCTGGGCTCTGTGGTGCAGGCCTGTAATCTCAGCACATGGGAGGCGATCACAAGTTCAAAGCCAGCCCAGGCAATTTAGCAACTTAGAAAGGCCTTGTCTCAAAAATTTAAAAAAAAAATTAAAATGGCTGGAGATGTAGTCTGGATTAGACACCCCTAGAAAGCAAGGATGGCATTTTACATCTAAGATCTTTACCTGTCTCCTTTCCTACCTCCATTTGGCATGGATACAATGAAGGCTTAAGTCTAGTATCTTTGTAAATCTCCCCCGCACCACAGGTTCTGGCCCAGTATGAATTCCTAAAATCATTATGGTGGTCATCTAATATGGCTGATGCCCTTAAAACAAAAGCCTGTCTTCCCAAGACCACCTCCCCCTTCTCCAACTCAGCCCAGGATACAAGTTCCTCCCACCCTTCCCTCCGCCTCAGGGAAGACCCCAATCAGCTCCCTCAGATATATCTAAACATCCCCATCAAACCCCACCTCGGCCAAAGGCTGTAAAAGCCTCAACTTCCCTTGTTCCAATCCAGAGAATTCCTCATCCTTCCCCACATTCTCTTTGTGTCCTCAAAGAAAATAAAGCCCCTTTCTCTTTTTTTTTTTTCCTTTGGCCTGTTTTTCTGCTGCACCGTGCACCTGAAAAAAACCTATCACACACAACCTGTGTGCTGAAAGGATGGTCACTGGTCCCAACTGGCACACGGGCAAGGTGGAGGTGACTGGCACTTGCTTTTGGAAAACACCTGGCAGGGGTTAGTATGAGGCCGGGCGCATAGCCTTTCTGCACCACGTGCGGATCACGCCGTTTTCCACCCTGTGCAACTGAATCCTGCGAGTAAGCGTGGAAGGGCAGCATATGTTGCTCCAGGGGCCTGCTGAAGTCGCTGATCTGTACAGAAGGGATTTTAGCTGTTCCACTCAAGGACCTACACCCAAAGGCCTTGCTTCTTCCGCCATGGGCTACGGCCTGCAGAGAACACCGTATGAGGCCCAGCGCGGCTGCGGGGTGCCAGCCCTTGCGCCTGCCAGCCATCGGCGGCTGAATTCCGACCCACCTGGCCCAACCTCACCCGCTTCTCACTGAGCACCCAGTGTAGAGGTTCCAGGAGTCTTCCGAATGTTTGCAGCTTTCGTCAATGGGCCGCCCTCCCCGACCTCGGATCTCTGACCCCAGCCCGCTGGTGGGGAGAACGTGGACCCAGGCAGGAGGCGCTCTCCAGCAGCTTGCCGATCGTGTGACTCAGTAGGAGATAAATCTGGGGGAGCCCTAAACTACCGAGTCTTTGGGTTTAGGGAAACAGCGCGATGGACTCAAACCCAACTCACAGTCCACGCTCGCGCCTGCCTCTTGAGAGGGTAACCTCACTCAGCCAATCAACGGGCAGACTCCCAGGAATGCCCTCCCCCTCCCCCTGAGTGACAGTGCGCCAGGCCCCAGCGGCGCTCGCTGGCGCTCGGTTCCTACTGCGCATGCTCTTCGCCTCCTGCGCGCCCGAAACCTGCGCCCGCCGCACCTGCCCGCCTCGCCCGCGTCCAGCTGGGCATCCCGGCTCGGACATGACGGCGCACTCCTTTGCCCTCCCGGTCATCATCTTCACCACGTTCTGGGGCCTCATCGGCATCGCCGGGCCCTGGTTCGTGCCGAAGGGCCCTAACCGCGGGTAAGGAAGGAGCACAGGCCCTGGCTCCCCACGGACCCTCCTCCCCTGTCCCCTGCCCCGGCCACCCCAGCACCACTCCGGGGATGCCTCTCCAGGCCGCCTCCCCCGGGGTCTCCGCTCCTGGGACGCGTTCGGAGAGAGAACGGTAGGAGGCCCGGGGGAAAGGACAAACACCGAGACATAGAGGAGGGACTTAAGAGATGGAGGTGGCCAGGCGTCGCCTCCTGCAGCGGGAACGGGCGGGGTGGGCTCTGGTGCGGCGTCGCCGCCCTCGCCAGCGCGTGACCTTGTGCCTCAGTTTCTCCGTGATAAAGGGGCATGATGCCAGTGCCTGCCTCATAAGGCTGCGGTGGGCGTTACTCAAGTAATGCGCTTAAAACACTGGTCAGTGCGTGGCACAGTTTGTGCACTGGATCGGTTTTAGCGGGTATTATTTTTGAAGGTTCTGCAGCAGATTTGTGCGCACGCACTGGTGGCAGCTTCCTCCTATTGCCGGCTATAAACTGTTCTCCCTTTGTCTGTAAGCCTGTCTCCGCAGTGCCCAGCCAGTGCTGGCCCAAGCCCTGCATAATGAAAGAGGGAGCAAACCTACAGCAGCAACTTGAAGTGCTGCAGGCCAGAGGTCGCAGGCCCCACTGTGGATTCATGTAGGCCTTGGCTAGGGGCCGCTCGGAGACTTGCATGTCGCCTTGGTTCTTAAAAATGTGCAGGGCTGATCCGTTCCACAGCACGACTTTGTAGAACATTGTAGGGTCGCTTCTCGGCAGCTCTAGAGAGTTCTTTATGGCACTCCTGCTGTATTTTAAGCTTCTGTCATCCCTCATCTCTGAGTGGATGATATTCTTTTACAACAACCAAGCCTCAGAAATGGCTTGCAGGCTCCTTGCTTCTTGCCCTGTCTTCTGGGCTGTCGTTTTCACTCCAGTGGAGTCCCTCAGCCCACTCCGCAGGATCATGCCATGTTGGGACAGCAGATCTGCAGTCAGATGGAGACATGTTGGGTGGTGGAGAAAGGAGGTGAAGGCACTGTCACTTCTTTGTGCAGGGTGGGCAAGAGGTGACACTGAGAGCATCTGTCCTCCAGGTGGCAGTTCTCACCCTGAGTAGACCTCAGGCATCAGGAGGGCCTGTGGAACAGCTGATGCCTAGAGCCTTCTGACTTGTGCCCTCTTCTGCTGCAGGGTGATCATCACCATGCTGGTGGCCACTGCTGTGTGCTGTTACCTCTTGTGAGTACCACCCTTGCCAGCTTTGTCCCCTGTCCGCCCTTCTGACCCTGCCTCTGCTGCCCGTGGGTCTGCTGCATGAGCTTTATCACAACCCAGGGCTGCGTATCCCACCTGTGAAATGAACCAGTTGCCCCGCGAACCTGCTGGGCCTCTCAAGAGCCTGGGCAGATTGCCCAGCTCTAGCTTTCGGGCTTCACCCCAGGCCCAGGAGATCCCAGCTGTCAGGCTTACACTCCGGGATCTTTTTTTTTTTCAGAACCGGGGATTGAACTTAGACTCTTGTGCTTGCCAGGCAAGTGCTTATTCTACTGAGCTATCTCCCTGGCTAAAAAAAAAAAAAATTAAAGGACTCAGGCATGTAGCTTAGTGCAAAGGCCCTGAAGTTCAATCCCTAGTATTGCAAACAAAAAAACAGAGAGAGAGAGAGAGAGAAGGGGGGAGTGTCTGGGGCTAGGATGTGTCTTAGAGATACAGCATTGTGAGGCTGGGGTGTGTCGAGAGCAGGGACACACCTGGGCTCTGGTAGAGGCGGCACCTGGCCTTGGGGGCTGCATCAAGTTGCCCCTAATCCCAGTCCCAGCCCCAACTCAGGGACTTACAAATCAAACTGAAGCCAACAAACCATGGGCCACCACCCTATGCCTGCTGGGGTGTGGGTGGTTCCCTGGGTCCCTTCTTAATTTCCCAGGACACAGGCCATGCTACCTGCAGGCACCGGCCAAGGCCTCCTTTGGCATGGGTGTGGGTTCCTTCTGTGTCAGCCCCTCACACTGCTGTCCCCGGCAGCTGGCTCATTGCTATCCTGGCCCAGCTGAACCCCCTGTTCGGGCCCCAGCTGAAGAATGAGACCATTTGGTACGTGCGCTTCTTGTGGGAGTGACCGGCGCTGCGTGTGGCCCCAGGTACGTGGGACATCAGGTGGGGAATCAGGGAAGGCAGAGCCAGGGATTAGTTCTGGGTTGGATTCAGGGGTGGTATTTAGCAAAGCAAGAAAGGCTGGCCTACAGCTCTCTGCCTGCCTTGTGCCAGCCAAGTGACCCAGGCAGGGTGAAGGTGGCTTTCCAGGGGATCAGAGGTTCCCAAAACAAGACAGTGACCTTAATGTCATGTGCCTTTCAGGTGTCCAGTGTTCCAGATGGCCCTGGCTCCATGTTGCTGGTGACATCCATCCCACCTTCCCCGCGGCTGTCCTGGTCCTTCTGTGTTCCCCTGTGTTAGCACCTCAGGGTCCACACACTCAGGGCCCACTGGGTTCTAGGACACCCTGTCCTCTCGGCCAGGCAGGGGTCTAGAAGCCCTGAGCTCAGACAGGCTGGAACCAGGATATCCCTGGGGTCTCCTCTCCTTCCTCCTAAGCAGGTCCTGGGAGCAGCTGGTCCAGGTGGGATCCATCTCTCACAGGTGTGGCATAGGTGAAGACAGTGGAGCCCAAGGTGGGGTCTGTCCCTGTCAGCTGTGAGGTATCCAGTGCTGTCAGATTAGATGTGAAATTTCTGAAACAGTGTGTTAGAGAAACATTCACACACCAAAAATCAGCATAGTGCTTTGGGCTAAGACTGACTGCAGGACGTTGAGTGACCTTCGTAGCTGTGAGGACCCTTCATGGTCATGTCTCTTCAGAATGTTCTGTCCGGCCTGCCTTCTGTCCCCTCCCTGGGGCCTGTCAGCTGAGCATGGTTGCCCTCTTCCTGTCCATTGGGAACCCTGTACTCATTGTGCTGTGCTAGCATAGACCCCGCAACCCCTCCCAGCAGCATCCAAGTGACCAGAGCTGGAGGACGAGAGGCAGGTGATGCCACTGGAGTGGTACTGGGGCGCAGGCTCCCAAGGCACCCCTGTGTGGGGGACAGTGAGAGACAAAAGTACAGGTTATACACGGTCGGACCCTCCAGCCTGCGCTCCTCCAGAAGACAGCAGCTTGCCTGCGTACCCAGAGCTGTTAGGACAGAGTTCACCCACCTTGCCTGGTCCCTGGCCTCACTCATTACTCATCCAGCGCCCCTTCGCCTGTGGCGGCCGTCAGTTGTGGAGCAGCTGTAGAATCGGATGTGTGTCACCCAATTTCTCAGTTCTGGGCTCCAGCCGCTCGGCTTGGGGTTGTGCGTGGACACAGCCCTCCAAGGCCCTCCTCTCATTTCCACAGCCTCCCGCACGGTGGAGGTGGCAAGCATGCCTGGTGCCCCCAAAACTGATCCGTGTCTAATAAATAACGGTGATGCAAGATGAGTTTGGTGAGCAAAGCCTGGCCTCTGTGGAATCTGCTCGCTGCCACCTGATGTCCTGGTCTTTAGCAGGTGGATCTGGGACAGGAAAGAGCCGGTGCAGCTGACACACTCGGAGCTCCGCTTCTGGGAGACGGACACTGAGGACGACAGTTCCCTGAGACCTGGGCCCTGCTGCCTGTCCTGAGTGGGCCCAGAGCCAGGCCTGGGAAGAGGCGGGAGACGAGGTGGTCAAGTGGACCGTGGATGACCGGTGTGTCCCAGACAGTGGAGAGGCAGCTCCCAGGCTGTGCAGTGAAGCAGGCTGCTATGTCGCCTACAGAGTGACCTCCTCCTAGACCTCCAGGGGTTGACGTCTGCCTGCCAGGCTTCTGCGTGAAGTAACATGGAGCTGGGGAGGAGTGAGGCAGAAGCAGCGGCTGAGGCCTGGACCTGGTTGAGCGGCTTAGGTTGATCGGATGGGCAGTGGGGAACCACAAAGGTTTTAGTGTCTGTGGTACTGGGGATTGGATCCAGGGCCTTCACACTGAACTACATTCCCTACCTCTTTTTAATGGTTTTTTTTTTTTTTTTTTTCTTTTTAAAATTTTGAGACAAGGTCTCTTTAAATTGCCCAAGCTGCGCTTAAAGTGGTGATCCTCCTGCCTCAGCCTCCTAGAACGCTGGGATCACAGGTGTGTACCACCACGCCTGGCTCCTAAGAGGCTTAAAAGTGCTGTGTGCCCAAAATGGGCCTCGGGTCTGGGATGTTTAGGGAACGGGGAGTCCATCACAGAGGGCTGCTTCCCTGCACCCAGTTCTGTTCTCTGGATTCTTAGCTTGGTGTCATATTGTTAGGGCATCGTGACACTTCCAGGACAGTGCGTGATGCTGGATTCTCATGGGAGCGCAGGCCGCAGCCCCGTTCCTGGAGGAGGGGTCCTGCAGAGTGGATTCCTGCTGCCTGGGCACTTGTGTACTGCCTAGGGCTGGCCCTGTGGCTTCCCAGCTTTTCTTCTTGTGCAGTCATTGCTTTCATTTAGAACCTTTAAGGTGGAAGCGCCCCTTCAGGATGAGGAGACAGACATTTTCACAGGTCCTAGAGACATAGGTAGGGAGCTATGGGGACAGAAGCTAGGACCTGTGGCACTTGCTTTCTGTGGGGTCCAGCTTGGGCCATTCAGCCCAAGCGAGTAGATTTGGAAACCAGTGCAAAGAGCCTTGCCATCCTACACACTAAGGGACAACAAATTTCAGTTTGGTACTGGAAGCTTGTTTTTTGTACTGGAAGTATTTTCACAGGGGAATTTCTTCCCGTCTTATGCTTTGCTTGGCAGTCCATGTACAAGATAGAACTTGGTGTCAACTGCCTTTGTCGCCAAAGCAGTTTGATTGGGACTTGTCTCACCTCCAAAACGAGTTAACAAGTACTGAGGTGCCACTATACTCAAGGTCCCATATATGTCACAGACATCAGTCCAGGAAGGCTGGGAGGGCTGAGATTGCCGTCCACTGTACTCTGGCCTGGCTTGGCCTCCCACTCCCTGGGGAGAACTGGCTTCCATTCTGGGCTTTCCCAGGTGGGACTGTACAGGGTCCAGCAGGTTTTGTCAAGAATAAAAAGCTGGATGCAGTTAAAGCTACAAATACAGGGGCCAGGGAGGTGGCTCAGTAGAATAAGCGCTTCCCTGGCGAGCGCAAGGGCCTGAGTTCAATCCCTGGTTCTGGGAAAAAAAAAAAAAAAATCCCTGAAGCCACTCTGTGGGACGTCCTGGGCTGCTGATGCCTCACTGCCTACCATTCCACACCTTGCCTGACACGTTTTGGGCTGGTGAGATGGCTCAGTGATCTAAAGCACCTACTTAGAACAAGCTTAGCAGAGCACAAGGACCGGGGTTCAATCCCCCAGCACCACATGCCAGCCAGCCCCGCCCCCTGGTGGGCTGAGCTGGACACACACACACACACACACACACACACACACGCACAAAAATAAACAGAATTTAAAAAAAAAAAACTGCAAATACAGTCTTACTCTGCAACTACTGATGGGGAAAAGAGAGCCTCCTTGGGTTTGCACAGAGGTTGAGAGGACCTTTGACAAGGAGAATGAGGCTGGCAGGGAGTTGAGTGACGAGGGGCTCAGATCAAATCAGGAAGCACAAAATGACAAAAGGGTTGATGAACATATAAAGAGCCCTGGGGCCAGTTCCATCTGCCCGCTGGCTGGGATTCTGTTCTCTCAGAGACTAAAACATTTCAGAGGAAAGCTTCCAGGTCCTAGAGAAGATCCCAGAGCTGAACAAATGGGCAGGTGCCAAGAGTAGGTACCAAGTGGCACAGTGGGGAGCGACCTTGGAGACAGCTGGGTCCTGGAGGAAGCCCACTTGAGCCGGTAGCCAGGCCACACGAAGCTGCCTTCGAAGTGTGTGGCCAGCAGAGGGCAGCACCGGCAGATTTCAATTTGTGTCACCCTGGGGGCTGGGTAGTGGGCAGACAAGCAATCCCAGTCTGAGTGCAGCAATACTTCTGACAGTGCCACTGCCTGGATGAGATGTCCTCCAGGAATATCTTGTAGGAACATCAGGAGCTGCCGAGGACTGGGCAATTGTTTGGTGCCAGGTACTGCCCTGGAAAGCAGAGGACAATACTGAAGTACCTGCAACGTTGCATGCCCTGGTTCTAGGCCTCCCCAACAACTGCCCATGGATTTTTCCTGCCTCATTCATCATCCTGAGAGATCTGGCAAACATTGGTTGGTGACAGCGACACCCATCCTTCCAGGTTCCCACCAGAGAGAAAGGCAGGCGCTGTTCTCCCCAGGAGCCACAGAGTGAGGCCCTTGGGTGCTTCTGGTGGTTTTGCACAGAAACAGGATTATTATTGATTGGAACTATGAAAATCTGGGCTTGAAGCTCCAAGGTAGCAGTCCCCTCCCCCAGTAATCTCCCTGTGTGCTGAAAACCACGATGGACTTATTAGACCTGTGGTTTCCAGGAACAAAATCTGGTAACAGCCACCAGGTTTGTTCAGCTTGCCTCACAGAACAGCAAGGGTCACTGGCCAAAGTCCTGTTCGCTCAGCCACACTCTGGTTAATAAGTCTAAGGAAGGCGCCTGCTTAGGCACAGCGTGGCCAGGGTTTGATCCCTGGCCTGCCGTGCTGGCTCCGCCCCTGGGGCACGCTGAGACAGCAACGGACAACAGGGCACGGTGGCACACGGGGCGTGGTGGCCCACATCTGTAATACCAGTGCTTGGGAG